GACCGAGTGCCCAAACTGCAACCCAAAACCCACTTATTTATCGCTGGGTGCCAGGTGGGTGTGGCCCACTGGGTGGGCGTGGCTGTGATCGTGGCAGACTGGGCGGGTGTGGCCAAGGTGGGGACGCCTGTGGGGACCAGGCAGGGTTGGGGGAGATCCAGGGGATCTTCTGGCAGGTGGGGCGGTGGGCAGGAGGCTCGTCCTGTGGGGTGAGGTGAGGAGAGGCAGGGGCCAGGGCGGCTGCTGCCTGACACCATTGGCCCCCGCACACAGAGGCCAGCGAGTGCATGGGGGCCGACATTGTCCGTCAGCAGCCACAGCCTGCCAGCCCCTCGACTGGCGCACTCTGGGGCTCCGCAGCCCACCGCCAGCAGTTCAGAGAAGCTGCCTCTGAGCTGGACGGATGACCGACAGCTGAGGAGGTGATGCAGTTGGTCATACCCGGGAAAAGGAGAGCATGCGAGGCCAGGAGGGATGGGACGGGGGGGAGGGAAACCAGCCATACTGGGATGCATCCGGCCACGTGGGACCTTGGTGAGTTAGCAGGTGGCTGGTTGAAGAGGGACGGTTGCCACCTCCAGGGCATAGTGTGCGTGCCCACAGAGAGGGCTCTGAGTGCCGCCTCTGACACGCGTGCCATAGGTTCGCCACCACTGTTTTAAACCGTGAAGCCATTATTGAAGGCTGAAACTGAGGAAGATGAAATCTGTGACCATCTATCATAAGCTGTACAACAGCACAGACATGAGCAACTTCTTTAAATTCATGGACACATTAGGAATTTTGAGAATATATTACAGGTGTTTTTACTAAACTGTTGCCCTAGGAGACAAACCTGCCTATTCATAAAATGGTGGTTGTGGGTGGGTATAGCCAACCACAAAACACCTAATTATTTCCAGATAAATTGATGAGACTTGTTTCCTGCCATAATGTACTCTATCCCACAATTTGCTTTTGTCTATTTTTTGATAGATGTGGTCTGCATTCTTAATTTTCTAACATAAATATGGGCCACCTGGACATATTCCAAATATTTATGACTGTATTAGCTGATGCTTTGCTCTACCACATGCCATTTTCCAGTTTTTCTTTAATTACTATGATCTAAACATTTTTCAACCGAGGCAAGTAAATGGAGGATACTGTTTTCCCTAACAAAAGAAAGCTATCATTCCCTAACATATCTGTTTCAAAATAGCTAAAAACATCCCTCCCACTAGCAAGTGAAATATATGAGAATAGTTCTGAAAGATTGAAATCACTAGGTGTTTACAAACTGCCCTTAACAACAAGCTTACAGTCTTTGTGATTCTATATGTTTGCAGAAAACAAAGCATCTTGCTAAAAATTGTAGGATTAGATGGGGAGGAAAGAAATTATAGTGTGGAATATAAATACCAAAGTCTAAAATGCTAAAATAAACATCCCAATTGCCTATAAAGTGTCTTGGGAATAATAACATTAGCATAACATTTTGAAAAATGTCTTTTTCATATGTTATGTATAATAAAGATTTTTTTGTAAATATTCAGAGAGACATTTACTAATCTCACTCTTTGAAAACAGAACAGGAATAAGCCAAATGTATATGTTCTACATTGGATGAAAGATGGAAAGTATATCAAAAATTCATAAATATATACTTGTTTATTTATTAAATTTCTATGCTGCCCATCTCCCCTACAAGGTGATGTGCTTATTTTATTAAAAATGAAAAAAAGAAAATAAAATGCTTAGTATATTTCTTTTTAGATTTTAAGTAGGATGTTTAGGTTTTTCCCGAGGGGCAGTTATGGAACTTCAAAGAAAAGGCATATTTGTTGTTGTTGTTAGTTGCGAAGTCATGTCCGACCCATCGCGACCCCATGGACAATGTTCCTCCAGGTCTTCCTGTCCTCTACCATCTTCTGGAGTCCATTTAAGCTCACACCTACTGCTTCAGTGACTCCATCCAGCCACCTCATTCTCTGTCCTCCCCTTCTCCTATTGCCCTCAATATTTCCCAACATTAGGCTCTTTTCCAGTGAGTCCTTCCTTCTCATTAGGTGGACAAAGTATTTGAGTTTCAACTTCAGGATCTGGCCTTCTAAAGAACAGTCGGGGTTGATCTCTTCTAGGACTGACTGGTTTGAACGCCTTGCAGTCCAAGGGACTCGCAGGAGTCTTCTCCAGCACCATAGTTCAAAGGCTTCAATTCTTTGGCACTCAGCCTTTCTTATGGTCCAACTTTCACATCCATACATTGCAACTGGGAAAACCATGGCCTTGACTATACACACTTTTGTTGGCAGGGTGATGTCTCTGCTTTTAGTATGCTGTCTAGATTTGCCATAGCTTTCCTCCCCAGGAGCAAGTGTCTTTTAATTTCTTGGCTGCAGTCCCCATCTGCGGTGATCTTGGAGCCCAGGAAAATAAAATCTGTCACTACCTCCATTTCTTCCCCATTTATTTGCCATGAATTGAGAGGGCCGGATGCCATGATTTTGGTTTTCTTAATGTTGAGTTTCTTTTTTTTTTTAAATAAAGTTTTATTAATTTTTATAATTAAACAATAAATACCAATATGATGCATTTACATACAGAAGCAGTAAAAAATAATCCAAATCCATACCTTTTTTTTTTTGGAGACGTTCGGCGGCCCCCGCCTTGCCTTCACCCTCATCCACTTTCCTGTCCTTCCTCCCTCTCATCCCACAACCTCTCCACCTTCCTCCTTTCCACCTCCTACATCCCCACTCCCTTCTTAACCGCCTCTTCGAGTGCAGTTTGGGGTACCAGACGAGCATCTCCTCTTTTCAATACAGTTATTATTTAACTATAACATATAAATACATCAATTTTTATAATTTCAGTCCCCTAATCCCCTTCCCCCCTCCCCCCCTGACTTCCCAGAGCTGAATACAGGATTAAACATATAATAATCCAAATTTAACCCAAGCAACCCAATCATAATATAAACAAGTATAAACTTACTTTAACTCTAACATATAACCCCCTTGACTATGAGCTATATATGTAAATTATATATAGAAATATTTACAAGTAACAATAATTATTCAAAAGCTACATGATAATTGTTCATTTCATATTTTCTCTGAATATAATCTATCCATCTTCTCCATACCAAAATAAATTTCTCTTGATATTGATCCTTCAGGTATGCGGATATTTTTGCCATTTCTGCAAAATATGAAACTTTCTGTCTCCAATCATCCATATTCGGTAACGTCTCCTTTTTCCAATTTTGAGCAATCAATATCCTTGCTGCTGTTATACAGTACAACATCAAATTCACTTCTTTTGAGTCCAGATTGTCCATAATGCCCAATAAAAATAATTGCGGTGTAAATTTTATCTTCTTCTTAAAAATCTGTTGAAGATTCCACCAAATTTTAATCCAAAATGCTTTAACATCCCTACATGTCCACCATGGACTACTGTGATATTGAATGGTTTGCCTTGGATTCGAACTGAGATCATCCTGTCATTTTGGGGATTGTATCCCAGTATTGCTTCTCCTACTCTTTCATTGACTATGAAGGCTACTCCATTTCTTCCGAGGGATTCTTGCCCGCAGTAGTATACCTGATGGTCATCTGAGTTAAATTCACCATTCCTGTCCATTTTATTTTGCTGATTCCTAAGATGTCGATGTTCAGTCTTGTCATCTCTTGTTTGACCACGTCTAGCTTGCCTTAATTCATGGATCTTACATTCCAGGTTCCTATGGAGAAAAGATCTTTACAGTATTGGACTTTTCTTTCACCACCAGATGCACCCACAGCTGAGCGTCCTTTCAGTTTTGGCCCAGTCACTTCACACTCTTTCTGGCGCTACTAGTACTAGCCCTCTGCTCTTCCCCAGTAGCATATTGGACACCTTCCGACCTGAGGGGCTCATCTTCCATCATCATATCTTTTTGCCTTTTGGTATTGTCCATGGGATTTTCATGGCAAAGATACTGGAGTGGGTTGCCATTTCCTTCTCCAGTGGATCACATTTTGTCAGAACTCTCTGCTATGACCTGTCCGTCTTGGATGGCCCTGCACGGCATAGCTCATAGCTTCATTGAGTTACACAAGCCCCTTCGCCATGACAAGGCAGTAATCCATGAAGGAGAAAAGGCATATACTTTTCTTCAAATAAAACAATATTATGGTTAACTACTTTTCTATAAGAAATTATAATTAGTAACATTATTTCTTTTCTGAATGTCAGGTTTAAGAACAGTTGGTTCTTACAAATCAATAAAAAAGAAGGCTTCATGTTTCTTGTCAGTCTTGCAATTGCTATATATTTTCCATGAGTTTTCTATTGCTGAGGATACTACATTTTTTACCGTTGAAACAAAAATAGATATTTCTACTTTATACAAAGTGCCATTCCTATTGCTTTAATGGAACAAAGCTATACAAAATAATCTAAATCTTAACTTGGAGAATTGAGTTACCTTATAATTGAACTTTCTATGTTTGAGCCAAGTAGTAGAGTATACACAATGCCCTCTGTTCATCTAATTGCATCTAATTGATCCAGTAAAAGGTATATAGAACTCCGCAGTTGACTTCTCAGCCAGGCATATGGAACTGAAAACATCTTCACAAAAGTGAGCCAATGATCACAACAAAGACTGAAGAACTGGTAAGTAGACCAATTCTTTGAAACTCAGTTGGGTGAAACAATATGTCATAGAGGAAGGATTATTAGAAACATAGAAAACTGACAGCAGAAATAGACCTAATAGTCCATTGTGTCTGCCCTTTGAGGGTTGGGTTTTTTGTGGAACCATTTGTTGAATTATTGAACAAGGTACATCAGCTAACGTACAGAATGCTGGAACCCAATACTCCGCCTGAATGAAATTTGGGAGACTTATGGTCACCTCCTCAATGCTCCCGTGCTGCTGCTACTTCAGTGCCACTATGCTGCTACAGTCAGCCACAGTAATGTTATCCTCATTTCCACCATTTCCTGACAATTTCCAACAAGTTAATAAATCAGGTCAATGGAGAAGCCAACAGGGAAGGTAACATCCATACCTCAGCTACTTTGTGCTTGAGCCACAACAGCCACTCAAACACCACCATGCACCCTTCCTGACCCATGCCATCCTTGACCTGCACAGAACCTCTTGTGCATTCCCACACAAAGGGAGGGAGGGGAGGAGGGAGGGAGGGGAGGAGGGAGGAAGATACATTTGTAAGCTCCTGGTCAGCTTCCTACAAGGAAACTCAATGGTGAAGCCAGCAGGAAGTCGATAGTCAATCCCACTTTCACTTTCTCAAAAATCTTTGAGAAACATTCTTTCAAGAAAATGCTGCTTCAGCTGTCTGGTTTCCAAATGCTCAGTCTTCGTAGTTTCTTGTGGTAAAAGCACAGAATATCTGGATAGCATGACCTTTGCCATTGCTATAGTCAGAAATTCATGTTTTACCACCCTCCATCCACTTATTTTAAACATAAACAATCCATTAAAATTGGCATACAACTGCATAATTGCACTATTTTGCATCCAAAAGTTTTCCTAGATGTCTTTGACAATAGCAGCAACATTCATTACTTCTCTTCCTTTCTTTGAATACCCAAGTTATTTTGGGCATATATACTCCAACATTTTACAGTTCCAAGGTTATTTTGAAGCTACTTTCATAACTTTCTTCTGGGATCCAGAATACAAGAACTGTTTGATGTACAAAAGTGGCCCTTTTACCTCCAAAGGTAAAGAAGGCCATAAAATAAACATAGAGATCTGTCAGATAATGCTTGAACCATTTATTGCTCTGGGGATAATTCCTTTAGAAATGCGAAATGTCGATAATTTCTTTGCAAATTAATTTCCCTTAGATGACCATAGGAATGTTTTTATTAAAGGTTTCATTGTAAGCTACAGCTTCCTTAATTAGAAACCATAGGAAAACTAATAGTATAAAATTATTTTAAGCAAATATTTATGAATTAACAATAGAATTGTCTTATTAATAATAAGACAATAATTATTAACAACAATTATAAAAAATAAAATGTGACTCATTCTAAAAAAACACACACAATATAATAGTGTAAATTGCAGCCTAATCTTGGATCTGTTAGTCTTTTCAAAATGGATGAGTAAAAAGATTTATCTTCAGTGTAGAATACAAACAAGGAGAGGGCAGTTTAATTTATCTTTGGAAATGTTCCATAACTGGGGCGCTAAAGCTTTAGGTGGGTGAACCATCCAATAAAATGATAAACAGAGCCTTCACAGTTGATATTAATGTCTAGGTTGGATGGAGAAGCAATATTTTAGGTACCTGGGTCCTAAATATTGGTAATGTTGTAGACTTTTTTTTCTCTGCTCAAGTTCTAACTGCCAAAGAAAAATATTTTTCTCATTTTCATTAGACTGGCCCTTACCTCTTTATTCCTAAGACTATAAATAATTGGATTTAACATGGGTGTCACAATACAATATAGAGAGGAAATCAAAGTATCAATATCCAGAGAGTATCCTGAACTAGGCCTGTTATAATTGAAGTTAGCAGTACCATAAAATACTATAACCACAATCAGATGTGAAGCACAGGTAGAGAACGCCTTAGCTCTGCCCTTGGAGGTCTTGATCTTCAGAATGGTGCCAATGATGCGGATGTAGGAGATAAGTGTAAAGAGGCAGGGGGTGAGTCCTATCAAAGCACTGGCTAGATGGAGTACAGCTTCATTCACTGATGTATCTGAGCAAGAGAGCTTCAAAAGCAAAGGGACATCACAGAAGAAGTGGCTGAGCTGATTTGACTTGCAGATGGTTAAGGATGATGCAAGAAGGGTGTGCACCAGTGAGTTTGCTAAACCACACAACCAGGAGAACCCTGCCATCTTCCTGCAAGCAATATGGTTCATGATGCTAGAATAATGTAAAGGACTACAGATAGCCACATATCGATCATATGCCATGACAGCCAACAGTACACATTCTGTTCCTGCACAAGTAATGAGGAAAAACAATTGGGCAATGCATCCTATATATGAGATAGTTTTCCTCAGTCGAAAAAAATTAATGAGCATAACGGGGAGTGTGGCAGAGATATAACAAATGTCTAGAATGGACAAATTTGTCAAGAAATAGTACATAGGTGCATGCAGAGTCACATCAGTTTTGATCAAGATAATGATCAGAGCATTTCCCACTAAAGTTAATACGTAGATTGCTAAGAACATAAAGAAGAATAGAATATAGAGATCAGGATGGTTTGAAAAACCCAAGAAAATAAACTCCTTTATAAAAGTTTGGTTTTCCATGACAACAGGATTGTTTCTGAAAAGGTAAAGAAAAAAGTCTCAAAGACCAATACAATACTCAGTTGATATAAGACATTCAAAAAACATACTGGCTGGATTCATATATCACCATTAATCTATAATATTGTTTATCTGAGTATTGTGTGAATCCAGCCTCTGTATTTCAAAAAGCATTGTTTAATTGCTTTCATTATTAATTAATTACTCTAAATAATTATTAACTACAATTAATAATTTAATTGATTATAAAGTTACTTTATAAGTATGTAAATGCACATACATATGATAGATAATAAATAAATAGATCAAGAATTATTTCCATAACTGCTTGAATATAAAGCATAAACTAGATTTAAGTTCTTTATTGTATGTATCATACAAGTTCTACATTCCAGTATGTCCCTAAATAGCATAGCTTTCATTTTTGCAATATATTTATTCTGTTCTCTTGTAATAAAAATACATCTGCTGCTATTGATTTTGTTACTATTTTATGTTTTACAATATTTTTGCTCACTAGAAACTAAATATCCAAACTGTTTCTGTCTTTGTTTTGTTTACATGGAATACCTTCAAAGTCTTTATGTAATCTCAGTTTCACTCCTGATTTTTAATTGCCTGCTAGAAATAAAAGAAAATTGCAATGACTGAAGGAGAAATGGATTCTTCAACGTAATCAGTAGGTAATAATACTTATAACTATAGACATTTTTAGGGATTTGGATGGATGAGCCTTTATAAAAGGGCATGTGAAAGCATTTTTAAAATGCCTTAAAATGATGGAATCTATTATTAAATAATGGATTCAGGCTATACAATCTTATGAAAAAATTCCTATCAGCCAGAGGAGATCATAGAATCAATTCCTTTGTTCAAGCAAAGCCTGGGCAGCCATCTGTCAGCATGCCTTAATTTGGATCTCCTTATGGAGCAGGACCATTACAATTCTGTCAGTCTGGTACAGTGAAATATACAGCAAGAATTGTACACAGCAAAATGATTTATAAATTCTAGATATATTTATTTGTATTATAGGCTATGCCACTCTCATCCCTACTGCATTGCTTACCAAGATACAGTGAAAGCATCCACAAAAATTAACAATAAGAGAATAAACACAGATGTAATAGTAACAGTAATAAATTGGGTATATAACAAATATTTAAGTGTTCTCCTAACGCAGGGGTAGGCAACCTTGGCTCTTTCATGACTCGTGGACTTCAACTCCCAGAATTCCTGAGCCAGAAGGAATCTGAGCCAGATATATATCAAATATAGTCCCTGGAATTAGCAACAACTCCATTTTATTTGCATTCAGCTTCAGTTTGGTCCTTCACATCTCTTACAATTTAAGAGACACAGAGGATCTTAACACATCTAATCCAAGGCTGGCAGGAAAGGAGGTTTACAGCTGAATAGCAGTATAAGCCTATGTATGATCGTTTCATGCAGATATTACATAACATGAGATACAAGAAGAATCACCTAGAGCAATTTCTAAGGATTCAAGTGGATGTCTCCAATATTTGACAATATCTAATTGGTAAGATAAAATCTACCACAAAGTACAGTCTGATGCAACTCTCAATTTCTTCAGGCACTCAAAACATAGCCATGGTATTCCTTTGACACTCTATGGAAATGAATGTTGAATTTTACTTAAACAGGGTAGGAGAAGTATTGATGCTTTTGAACTTTGGTGAGAACACCATAGACAGCCAAGAAAATAAACAAATGGATCATTAGACAAATCAACCCAAAGGACAAATGTCCAGGCTGAAATTATCCTACTTTGGCACATTAAACAAATACCGGTCTCTCTGGAAAAGACTCTAATGTTGGGAAAGGTGGAAGGAAAGGAAAGAAGAACATGACAACCAGCAGCAAACTGGATGGGCTCAGTTAAAGTGGTGATGAGTGGTCCATTGGAAGATTGAAATAAGAGGTTAGAGGTAGATGGTCATGGGGAAAATCTATGTAGTCTCTAAGAATTTAAGAAACTTAATAATATAATGTAATGGGGAAAAGATCATCCAAAAGACCAATTAAGGCCATCTCTCTGTCAAATCTGAACAGTTCTAGATAATCTGTTTCCTCTTATTCAATGCACAAAGGCATAAATTTGAAATATCAACAGGAATGAAACTGTTTCTTCCAAATCAGTTTAATTTCTTCTATTTCTTTATCTACAGTATAGGATTCTAGAATATTTGATCTCTGGCATAAAATACAAAGCAAGCCATGCAAAAACAGAATACCTTATTGCTTGCCATCCTCTTTTTCTCTTTCTTTCCATCTTTCCCAGCATTATAGATTTCTCCAGAGAACTAGGTCTTTCCATAATGTATCCCAAACTGAACCAATTAGAATTAAGGTACAAACGTAATTCTGTTTGGATTTAGCACAAAAGTTTAAATCAATTCATAATCAACTATGTTTAATGGAAATAAACAAGATGCAACAGACTGACCTTTGTTAAGCAGAAATATCTGAATAAGATAACATCAGATAAATTGCTGGGTTACCATCTGGAAAAGAAACAAGACAAAACAACTATTCTGCTCGAGATGCAATGAACATGCTTCCACAGTGAAGGATATAATGGAGCAAATGTTATGTTATGTTATGTTATGTTATGTTATGTTATGTTATGCTATGCTATGCTATGCTATGCTATGCTATGCTATGCTATGCTATGCTATGCTATGCATAGCATTACATTATATTATACATTACATTATATTATCATAATATTTGGTTTCCATAATATATCCAAAATACGATAATTTGAGCCTGGCCATTTGTTTTCCAAGTGAGAACTCTGATTTGTTCCATGATCCATTTGTTTGATTTCTCAAGGAGAAGATATCTACCAGAAGTTATCAATATCTTCATTGTCAATTCTGATAGCTGTACCTGGTGTCATTAGCCTCCTTGTCTATTTTATCCATGCCATGTATAATTTTGTATGCCTCAGTCATATCCTCTCTTGTTTGTTTCCTTTCTGGAGACAAAAAAAAACCCTTATATTAATTGTCTGCATCTGAACTTCCTCCAGCTGCACTGAGCCCTTTTTTAGAAGTGACCAGAGCCTGCATACAATTTTCCAGATGCTGTTCAGCCATTGGTTTATTGTGATATTGGCATCTCTGAGTGCACATTGTGGCAACACCCTAATTGAACTATTTTACCATTACTACAAGATCCAAGATCTCTTTCCTTATCATCCACTCCTAACTCTGATCCCGCTCATCCCATAGCATGCTTCAGTAAGAAATAGCCCCAGACTGACTCTAAAGACTAATAATTGAAGAAAGTCATGTTCATAATATACTGTTACAGTTTATACAGGATGGCTGAGGAGATCAGTTAAAAATTCCCATTAAAAAAGCAAAATTTCTAAATAACAGTTGCCTCAAACTAGCAATTCTAAGATGCCGGATTAGAAGGGAAAATTCTTCTCAAGCACTGCACTAATATTTATTTACTTTGGTATGCAACTTTGAATTCACAAAAATAGTTATGCATCACCTAGGAATTTTCCATTTTAAAAATGTCAAGATTCATTTTTTTTATCATTCTTAGCATACTTGCCTCCATGCGGATAATGTTGTTTTTTGATACAAAATAAGAGAACAAAATAATTTATTTTCCAGATACCCACAGACTGCAATCTCAAAACAAGATGAAGTTTTAAAAATATATTATTGCATTAATAAGCATCAGGACCATTGTATACTAAATCTTTATTTTCCTTTTATTTTTCTTAAATAGTGTACAACTTGACCTTATTTTGTAGTTTTCTTTCATATCATGCAAGGTGCATATTTTTCTCATAAACATGGCAAATTCTTTTTTTTTAAAAATAAACTTTTTGTAGTGGAAATATATACAAAAATAGACATAACTTCCATCTGGACATTTTCATGAAAATTCCTCTGTTTATTCTAAATAAAATAATCACAAATCTTCTAGATGAGATAATTCTGTTTTTTGTCATACAGGACCAAATTAGATAATCCCCAAACCAAATTCATTCTAGCAGACTAAGTATATAAGTATTTGTTGTATATTTTATTATATTTTTTTTATGTTATAATCTGTCCAGAGATGCAATAATGAAAAGCAAAATACTGATGCATACAGAGATAAATACATTTAGATGATTTGACATGTGTTTCTATCATTTGTTAGATGTGCAGTTGTGAGCAGACATCCCCAACCAAGTGGGTATGTGTGTAATGGTGACATGAAGAGGAGGGAGTAAGTTACAGAAGACTGATACATACTGATTTATAGAAAGTGTTAATGATTTCAGATATGCCCTATTAGTATTGCATATTAAGGGTTGTTTGTAAGATTCTTTTAACTGTTCAACCAGTCCTTGTGCAGGGTGTTCTTATTTTTTCTCCCATTCCCTCTCTCCATCCTAAGATATTTCTTCTGAAACCAACCATGCACAGAAGAGGGACGCAATCTTTCACACAGTGAGTCCCAAGCTTCTTTGGAGCTTCAAAATTAATATCAGCAGTAATGTCAATCAAACTAGTTCCTAGTACAATTGATACAATAAAAAAGCCAAAAATTCAGAATGGGGAAGTTAAGCAACTATTATTTTAATTATGTAGTTTTAGTTCGCATTGCAAATGCATTTTTACATGTAAATAAGTCCCATCATGTTCAGGGCTGCTTTTCCTAAGAAACTGCACATTGGATTGAAGTTTGATTCATTTATTTGGGGGAAATTGAAAAAAAAAACCTGGAGTAGAATCTTGTATTTCTCATGTAAAATGAAAAGAGACTTTTAGTACAAGATGGATCATACAGAACTGCCTATGATTTCCTTGAAACAGACATTTGGAAGGAATTGCATAATTTTCTAAGAAGCTGCAATCATTATTCGCTAAACAGCTTTTAGGACTCATCTAATATTATACCAGGTAATATTTAGATCATCTGTTAAGAATTTTCTGATTTTTCTGTGTTAATTCTGCTGCAAA